ATACACTCAGCCACATACATAGACACAAACATCGTCCCTCTCCCCTGAAACAGGTTGTCTGTGGCTTTTCTTCTTGAGAAGTACTGTGCTGCCAGGCAGGGACTGGGGGGAGTGAAAGCCAGGAGGGTTGTGAGGGGATCACAGGGAGGCGGAGGAGGCAGCGGTCTCCACAGTCGTGCTGCCCCACCCAGCCCTAGGAAGGTGCAACCTCTGAAGGCTCCCAGCAGGGGGAGCTCAGCCACCAAAGTGTGGGGCTTGGTGGAGGGAGCTGGTGGCTGGTGCAAGGCAGCTCCAAACCTTGTCTTCTCTGTTCCCAGAGACCCGGTGGGCTTGGGCTCTGGGCACAAGCACCCCCTGACCTGTCTGGTTTTCTCCTTGCCCCAGCTGCCATCCAAGGCCCTGGTGCCCGAAATGGAGGACGAGGATGAGGAGGATGACTCAGAAGATGCCATCAACGAGTTCGATTTTCTGGGCTCAGGAGAGGATGGGGAGGGCTCTCCAGACCCTCGGCGATGTGCTGGAGAGGGAACCCACCATGAGCTGGGTGAGCGGAGGGTTTTCTTTCTGTCCAGCCTTCCTCAGTGAGATTTCTGGGGGCACACACAGCCGCCTACAGCTGCTTCCTGCCCTGGGGTCTCCGCCGGATAGTTACACTTCCTGAGAGGAGGGCAGCCAAGGAGAATAGGAGGCCCACATCATCGTGGCCAGGCCCGCACCCCTTCCTTGGAAAATCCCTGTGGGGACACAGGCAGGCCTGGCTCTTCCTGAAGCAGTGCCGCCAGCCCTCCGCACACGTGTGTCCAGATCTTGGCGGACCTCAGGGAGGAAACAGGATGGGGACCAGAGGGGGTGAGGCAGACGGGGCAGTGCTGCATCTTCTTCTATCCTGTGACTGAGCTATGAGGCCCTCGGGGTCATGGAGGATGACGGGACTGAGGCTCCAGCAAGGGCGGCCCAGAGAGGTTCTCAGCTCGGTTACTCTGCTCTGCCTGGCCCCCACCCCTACCCTGAGACCCAAGGTGCCTTGGTGCCAGGGCTTCCTGGCCACCCCACAGTTGCAGGAGAGGCTTCTGGTGGAAGCCATCACCTGTGCGTGGCTCGGTTGAATTGGTGGGTGACTCCCTGCCTGGTGCCTCCTCCCTATAGAAAGCCGGCGGGTCAAACTCCAGGGAATTTTGGCTGACCTTCGGGATGTGGATGGGCTGCCCCCCAAAGTGACTGGCCCACCTCCTGGCACACCCCAGCCCCGGCCACACGAAGGTAAGAGGCCCCTCCACCCTGGTCCAGTCCCACAGGGCCCGTGGCACCCACAGCAGAGGGAGGCTGCAGAGCTAAGCCCAGGGCTTCTGTGTCCTCAGGGTCGAGGCCCGGCCTCTAGTCTGCAGCCTCCCTGTCCCAAAAGTTCGTCTGTCTGTCTGTCTTCCCCTCTTTTTGTCTGTCCTGCCCTGTCTGTCTCTCCCTGTCTCTTTCTTTCCAGCTGTGATTCTTGATCTTGTCCTCTCCCTGTCTCTCTTTCTCACACTTCATCTCTCTCTCTGCCTCTGTCTGTCTGTCTCTCTCTCCCGGCCCCTCTCTGTCCCCTCCCTCCCCTCCCCCCACCAGGTTCCTTTGGCTTCTCCTCAGACGTTTTCATCNAGTGGGCAAGTGCAGGCTCGCCCAGGGCTAGGCTGGCTGTAGGACCCCAGCATGGGTGACCAGTTCCTCTTTCCTGCTGGGGGTGTCTCTGCCACTCACCTCTCATGTGCTTGTGGTTTGACCAGGCCATGGGAATGGGGGCTGCAGATTCTGTGGCACTTTCTCGTGTAGCCCTTCTGACTCAGGACATGCGGGGACATGTCTGGTCAGGGTTGGGGGCTAGTCCCCTGGAACTCAGGCTCAGAACTCAGGAGTTGGGCGCAGTCTGTGGTCAAAATGAAGGTTTGATTTGGGGTGACCGTCTGTCAGACGGAGGCTGGGATTTTGGCCCTGTGTGTGATCAGTCAAGGTTCCTCTGGGGTCAGGGTGGGCTCAGCCCCCCTGAGAGCTGGGTCCAGGCTCTGGCCACCAAGCCTCAGTGTCCTCCCATCTGAGTTTTGTCACTTGGCAGGACTAACACCCCCCTCTGCCCCCATCTTGGGCAGGAATGCGGCAGGCAGAGATGGCAAAGAGCGCTTGGGTGGCTCGGTGCTGGAGCAGATCCCCTTCCTCCAGAGCTGTGAGGATGAAGACAGCGACGAGGACGACGAACTGGACAGCATGCAGCACAAGAAGCAGCGCGTGAAGGTGAGCCGTGAACCAGAGGATGCGCCCCTCCCCTCCCCTCCGCTCCCCTCCCCTCCTCTTTCCTCCCCTCCTGTCCTCCAAGAGGACCCCCTGGTTTGTGTACCAGCAACAGGGCACCCCTGTAGGTGCCTTGGGACTACCTCCAGTCTGTGTTGGCCTGATCACATCCTAGAGTCCCCATCTCCTTGCCTCAGTAACCTTCAGAGGCGCTTAGGTCTTTACTGTTAGGTCCCACCTCTACCCCACCTGCAGTGCACCCCTGTTCTCTCCATCCTCCCTTCTTCAGCTCAGGTGTTCCTGAGAGGCCTTTCCTGAACTCTGCAAACCAGGCCAGTCCCCGTGGTGCCCTCACAGCACTCTTTCCTTTGGGCTAGTCTCATCACAGTCATACTCAGATACTGTTTGGTGTGGCAGTGGCTCCCTGTCTTTCCGGGTAGATGGTGAGCTCCACAAGGCAGGGACTCTGGGGGTCTTTTCACAGATCCCTCCCCAGCACCCTGAATAAATGTGGCTGGGTCCAGGGTTCAGCCTGAGCGGGGGCAGGGCTCAGCCTAGGACCAGATTGGCAGGGGCTCTGTGGGGGCTTCCGGAGGATGTGAATGTTCAGTCTGCTGTATCAGGACCCAGGCCTGGGGACACTTTACAGGGTAAAGTCCAGATCCCTTCAGCTTGACCTCAAGGTACAGCTCACACCACATTTCATCCCTGCTCCTTAACTGCCATAGCTATTGTACCCCTGCCATCTTGACGACGCTGTCCTTAGGTGTGGCATAATCTCATTTGTTCAGTAAACGTCAATTTGGGCCTTGTGGACCAGCTCTGCTGACAGCAAGGGTATGGAGACACAGTCCCCAATGTGGAGGAGCTTGTGGCTGGCGGCGGGCTTGTAAGCAGTCACATACAAAGGGATATGCCACAGTGGAAACAGGGACAGGTGCCGTAAAGGGGGCATCTGTGGGAGATGGCCTTTCTTTAACCTGCCGCCCCCTCGCCATGAGAACTCCCTCCTTCCCCCCTCCCTCCTTCAGGCCCACCTCAGACACCCCCTCCTTTAGCCTTCCCTGACTCACTCTTGCTCCCCTCCCCCCTTAAAAGCTCAGGAGCCTCCTGGGGGCTAGGTCCTCCCTGTCTCGTGTTAAGTCTGTCCTTCGTCCTGTATCCCTGTGAGAGACCAAGTCTGTCCTGGCCTCTTCTCCCTCTCCAGTGTCCCCAGTGAGGCTCAGCACAGGGTCCTGCCCGGACTAAGTGCTCTGTGAACGTAGTGAAGGGAAGGGAGTACACAGAGCCAAAACCCTGGAGTTGGGCTTACAGGAGAACCAGGATGTGTCTGAGCCCGAGCTCTTCAGTACTGCTGTCCC